GAACTCACTCTAATCAACCAACTCAAAAGCCTTATATAAGCTAGAAATCCCACTTGCCACTTCATTTCAGCGATGACAGGGAAAACAACATGACCACTTGCTCCCTGGGTCTGAGGAAGTGTCAGACTCCCAGCCTGGGGAACAAGAGAGACTGAGCAATGAATTTCAGACAGTGCCTTCTTGGGGGGAGAGGGGGTAGCACTGCTGCTCCCCTCACAACAACCATTACATCCTCGGGCAAAATCTAGTTTCCCAATCTGGAACCAAGATGCTTATGATCAGTCCCCAGCCTCCTCCTCTTGCTCTTCCTCTCCATCCTCCTAACTAACAGAGGCAGGGGCAGCTAACTCTACACCGAAATCCATACTCCCCCTCCTGAGTATAAAGCTGTTCTGGGAAGCAGCTGACGGCCATGTAGGGCCATGGAACCTGTTCCCACCATGTGGTATGTGTCACTTTCAGGCCTGGGTTAAGGTTAAGAGGAGTTGTGTTTTTCCACATCCATCTGCTGACTAAATGCCAAGGGCTCTGACATGCTAAGGGATGGTGAAGTCACAGAATTGAAGAACTCCTGAGAACAGGAATATCACCATAGTACTGTTATATGAATGAAAAATAGACCTCTATTGTGTTAAGCACTGAAATTTGGAGGTTTATTTGGTACGATATCTAGTGGTACCCTAACCGTATGTACAAAAATACTTCTTGAGCCATTGCTATGCGTCACAAACTTTTCCAAGCACATATCCTGAATATCTCTTGCAATGCTGACATCAAGCCTACAAGGTAGCTACTACTGTTATCCCCATGTTATCGATGAGAAAATGAGGCACAGAAGAGTTAAGCAAAATGTCCGAGGTCACACTGCAGGTAAACAGTGCTGAGTTCAGTGCTGGATCCCTTCTACTGGCCCCAAGACGATGCCTCCAATAATCTCTCTTCCTTTCTCCTCTGTGCTCCTCAGGCTACAGCCTAACCAGACCATATACCTCATGAGTAGTCTTACCATGGGGAATGACTTTCCTTTCCTCCATCTTTTCTTGTCAAATCCAACAAGGAACTGCTGAACTTCCAGTTGCTTCTGAAGCAGTCCTTTCCAACAGGACTCACCCCTCTGCTCCAAAGCCTTACTCTGTCCTTCACTGGTCATCTGTCACCAGAGAAGAATGCACTCCCTAACGGGCCTCCTGGAAGAATGGCTGGTCCTTTTGTAGGGCTCGCAGATGAGACTTCCAGCCTGGGAATGCAGTGCTAACTTACCTAGCTCAGAGCTTCACACATTACCTGGCAGAAGTAGGCGCTCAGGAAATGTTTATTGGATTGAACACATGCACATAAAATGCAAAGCTGCCAACCAGTGGTTGTTAACTGCCAAGAGAATAACATGCCAAGAGAAACGCAAGGCTCCTGTATCAAACCCAGAAGAACCTGGCCTGGGAAACGAGAGGCTTTCTCCAATTCATTACAGCTGAGCAGGTGCTAATCCTGACTCCAGGGCCCAACTGCGGTCATACACAAGTGGGTGCCACGTACTTACAGCCACGTTTCAGGAGCACTGGCATGGGAGGGATTCTACCTAAAACTGGATCTACCCTACATGCCCTAGTCACAGCTGTCTAGCGCCTGAAATTTTACAATTAAAGGTCCATTCCTTGACAAAGGTTAAACATTTTCAGATATTCATATCCTGATACAAATGGATTTGTTAGGCCCTTTCCCAAGAGTGGGCTGTGAAAGGTAAACAAGGGAGTATGAAGACCTTAGCACAACAGCCCTGCAGCTTAAAAAGGGGGGAATCAGAATCAGCAATGAGGGGAGAGATGGGAAAAGAACAACTGGGACATGGAACACAAGGCTTGCCTGCTTTACAGGTGTGCTCACGGTTGGTCTGAGTCCGAGACAGAACCCCACAGGATTACGTGCCTTTTTGTGGAAGGAGGAAGCCATTGACCCAGTCTCCTATTTTTTTCAACCTGAGTCTCCTTGAAAGAGGACTCAGAAAAATCCTACCCTTGGCCAAGACTAACTGCTGACTGCCCTAGGGCAGCAAATATCACACAATTAGTTTCTAGAACTTCACTTACTGTCTCTGTCAGTTTCAGGAACTGCCTGTCACTAGAGCCCTCTAGTGCCAGAGGATGAAGCTATGTGCAGTATAAAACAATGAAAGAGCCAGAATTTGCTAGAATAATCCTCATCTTAGATGGTCCAGGGCTAAATGTTACAGCTGGCTGTTAGCAAACTGTGAAGGGCTAAACATTGATTTGTTAATTACAGATAGCTAAAGTAGGCTTAAATATATATATATAGCTCAACCCTTCTTCTCCCCACCCTCAGGGGCTATGAAAGTATAAAATATACAATAAAATAAAAATCCTATCTTCTACTGTAGCCCCAGCTTCCCTTTCCAAATTTCCTTTGACAAAAAGAAGAAGGTTAGCTGTAGTAGTTATTTCCTCGACTAGTAATTTTCCCTCCTAAACATCCCCACCACAGTTGCTATCTTCTGAATCCTATCCTCCATTATATCTAAGTTCTATTAATGACACAGGACCTGACATAAGCCTGCCTCTATTGTATGAATTCAGATGTGCTATGAAGTCCCCAATGGCCAAATTCCTTCTCCCCAATCCCATTACCACCACCTTCCCCAACTGAACCTGTAATTTCATCTTACAGCATCATCCTCTCTGGCTTAAATCAAATTCCAGTTTAAAAATATAAATCTTCCTAGAGGGAAAATTCCTAAAACCATTAAATGAACTGAGACTATAAAAGTCAGCTTTTATTAATTCAACTATCCAACAAGTAATTTCTTCAACTCCTACTATGAGCTGGACACACTGATTCAATACAGGTAACACGTGATTTTAAACCACAAGGTGAAGGAGGGGGATATCAAGGAAGGTCTGAGAAACTGCCACAACCAAGAGGAGCCTAAGAAGAAATGAAAACTAATTATAATATAGTACCCTTAATGGGATCCAGGAAGAGAAGAAGGATATTAGGTAAAAATAAGAGAATCTGAATAAAATATGGACCTTACTTAATAATAATTTATCCACATTAGTTCATCAATATGACAAATGTACCATATACTGTAAGGTGTTAATAATAGGGGAAAGTGGGTATGGAGTATGTGGGAACCCTCTGTATTATCTTACCAATATTTCTGTAAATCTAAAACTGTTCTAAAAAATTAAGTCTATTTTAAAAAAGAAAAGAAAGGAAGGCTGAGAACACTAAACATACCCCCTCCTTTTCCTAATAGTGCCCGAATTTCCTTTAAATCACCTCTCCCTTAACATCAGTGGGCAACGTCAGTGGGATTCATCCCTGTTCCAGCTCCAGTGAAGGGCTCTCATGGTCTAAGCCAATTAGAATATCCCGCTCACCTGGGCCACTGTGACTGGTTCAAAAATGGACCAATCAGAGCAGGAGCTGCTTGCTGAGGCCTTAGGAAAGAAAAGCTTTTACTCTTCCTCTGGACCAGGCTGTGAGAATCTGAGGCTTCCAAGGCTGCAGCAGATATCTTGTTACCATGAAGAGAATAAGACTGAGGAGTGCTATGAGACAACTCACATCCAATCGAAGCAAAGCTGAGAAGCAGGTCCTGCTGCCATTATTTGAGCTTCCTAGTCTACGACTGCTCCTAAGGACAGCAGTGCCTTTGGGCTTCTGCCACCTGCAGCATGAAAAATTGTTACTAATCTTATGGACGTGCACACTTCACAGCATTGCCCGTGGTGGCCACCTGACTGAGCAGGGAAGGGCACCCCCAGAGAGATGGTCCTGCCTTGCTGAAGTCACCAGGGCTTGTGGTAGAGCCATGCTCACTTAAAGAGGCACACACAGTCACAGTTTCATAGGGCTTGTTTATGAGTTTGAAAACAGCCGCAAAAAGAGTGAGATGTGTTAGACAATAGGCCCCTCTGTTTTCTTTCCAAAAGGTCTATCACAATCAATCAAGTCACCTTCCAGTTCTAGGCAAGGCTCAGTAGAGGTCAAAGGGTCATGCTTTACTTGAGTTCGACACTGAGTTTTCAGTCAGGAATAAAAAAGTTGGACTTCAACAGCCATGGAGGCAGGGACCACTTCTCTCTTGTTCACCCTGTATCCCCAGGGCTTAGCATACCAGTAAGTGTCTAATAAGAGCTCAAGAAATGTCTGCTGAAAAAAAATAAATTGCTAAAAGTTGTCTTTATTTAACTGTAGACTAAGTTTTCTAGATTGAAAGGAACATTCTGCTATAACAGCATGCCCAATCCAGTGTCTTCAAAACAGAAACCTTGAGGCAAGTCACAAAGATTGGACGCCCAAAACCAACATCTTAAAGGGGAGCTCAGTGGATTCCTCAAAACTCCTTGCCTGAGCAATGGGATGTTGTCACCCTGAGGCTTGTTTTTCACTCTTCAGAAAATTAGCCAAGTGATTCAAGAAAGCCTTTCAAAGATGACCAACCCGACATTCCATTTTATTTCTCCAACGGCATGTTCAAAAGTGCTGTGCTGGTATAGACCTGCTAGCTCAGACTGATGGGTGAGAAATTTGCTGCTCTGTCGTTAACTGCCTCTTGCTAGATGGGAAGCAACTTTTTAAAAATAGCTAGAGATTCAGGCTGGTGAAAAAAAGAAGGATAGAAGAGTAACAGTCACCTTTCCTCCCATCTGAATTTGCTGAGCCAGGAGGGTGAGCACATTTTCTCTGGCTTGAAAGCAATGGTTGTCTCCTTAATAATACCTACAGCATGTAGGGCTATTGACCCGCTCTTGACTGTAGCTTCTATTCGCTGATTACAGACCTGAACAACAAATACATCAGGGTTTCAATCTGGCTTTCCATGATGTTTGGGTTGTATGAACTGTTTTGAAATGAGCTGTCTTATTGTTAAAGAAGCAACTTAGAACCAAATGCAAGCAGACTGGACACTGAATCACTGTATTTGAAGGATTATTTTCATTATGGTTTGGGACCCTAAAAGTTGGGATTTGTTCATCCACCCATTATCTACCTATTCAATCAATCCAACTTTCCTTCCTTTATTCATTCAGCATTCATAGTGTCTACCATGTACTGTAGTACATGGTGCTATGCGTTGGGGATATACAATTGCTTATGCTGACCTACATCCATTATATTTATCCAAGACCCCAAAAGTTCAGCCCTTACTGGATCAACCTTTACTGTAGCATTATTTCCATCTAGACTATCCTACTACGCTGTCAACTCTTGATGGATAATGTAACTGTGGTCATTTTAATGATGTCCACAAATTCTGTGATACTCTTCTCCTTCAAAAGGTGGAACTAATTCCCCCCACCTTAAGAATGGGCTGGATATTGTGACTTGCTTCTAATAAATGGAATATGACATAACTAACAGTGTGTGTCTTCAACGACTAGGTCTTAAAATGTTTATGGTCTCCCCTAGTTTTCTCTCTTAGAACACTTACTCTAGGGGAAGCTATTTACCATTTTGTAAGGACAATCAAGCAGCTCTAGGGAGAAGCCCACATGGTGATGAACAAAGGCTTCCTGCTAAAAGTCAGCAAGGAACTGAGGCTCCTGTGAACAGCCATAGGAATGAGCCATCTTGGAAGTGTACTCTCCAGACCTGGACAAGCCTTTGGATGACTGCAGCCCCAACCAACATCTTGACAGCAACCTTGTCAGAGATGCTGAACCAGAACCATTTAACTAAGCCATTCCTGAATTCCTGAACCTGAGAAGCTATGAAATAATAAATATTTGTGGTTTTGAGCTGCTGGTTTGGGGGTAATTTGTTATGCAGCAATAGATTACTAATACAATGACTGTCCAACAACCACAGGTTTTGTGAATGACATTTAAGATCCTTTCCAAATTTCTTCTAGTGTTCTCTCCTTTACTATAGACATTGAAAAGCTGAAAACCTTACTTCTGAAATGTCCTTGTAGCTAGGGTTCCAAATGTGATTTAGATTCCACCAATCAGAATCAAAGCGACTTGCATTTGAGATGACTATGGACATTTCAGGTAGATTTCTCAGTGAGCCATGAGATCTGGAGACTGAAGTTCAAGTGAGAGTTCAGAGACAAAGAGGTAGATTCAGACATCAGAACATAGGTGGACGTTAACACCATGTGAGTCGGAAGAGACCTTCAAGATGGCAGAGGAGTGAGACATGGAGATCACCTTCCTCCCCACGAATACATCAGAAATACATCTACATGTGGAACCCCTACAGAACACCTACTGAACGTTGGCAGAAGACCTCAGACTTCCAAAGAGGCAAGAAACTCCCCACGTACCTAGGTAGAGCAAAAGAAAAAAGAAAAAACAGAGACAAAAGAATAGGGAAGGGACCTGTACCAGTGGGAGGGAGCTGTGAAGGAGGAAAAGTTTCCACCCACTAGGAAGCCCTTTCGCGGGCGGAGACTGCGGGGGGCGGAGGGAGGAGCTTCGGAGCCGCGGAGGAGAGCACAGCAACAGGGGTGCGGAGGGCAAAGCGGAGAGATTCCCGCACAGAGGATCGGTGCCGAACGGCACTCACCAGCCCGAGAGGCTCGTCTGCTCACCCGCCGGGGCGGGCAGGGCTGGGAGCTGAGGCTCGGGCTTCGGAGCTTAGATCCCAGAGAGAGGACTGGGGTTGGTTGTGTGAACACAGCCTGATGGGGGCTAGTGCACCATAGCTAGTCAAGAGGGAGTTGGGGAAAAAGTTGGGACCAGCCTAACAGGCAAGAGACCATTGTTTCGGGGTGCGCGAGGAGAGGGGATTCAGAACACTGCCTAAACGAGCTCCAGAGAAGGGCGCAAGCCATGGCTATCAGCATGGACACCAGGGACGGGCATGAAACACTAAGGCTGCTACTGCAGCCACCAAGAAGCCCGTGCGCAAGCACAGGTCACTGTCCACACCTCACCTTCCGGGAGCCTGTGCAGCCTGCCACTGCCAGGGTTCCGTGACCCAGGAACAACTTCCCCGGGGAGAACACACGGCATGCATCAGCCTGTTGCAACGTCATGCTGGTCTCTGCCACCGCAGGCTCGCCCCGCATTCCGTACCCCTCCCTCCACCCCCTGGCCTGAGTGAGCCAGAGCCCCCGAATCAGCTGCTCCTTTAACCCCATCCTGTCTGAGCAAAGAAGAGATGCCCTCAGGCAACCTACACGCAGAGGCGGGGCCAAATCCAAAGCTTAGCCCCAGAAGCAGTGCGAACAAATAAGAGAAAGCCGTGTGGCTGACAGGGTCTTGGTGCTCCAGCCGGGTGTCAGGCCTGAGCCTCTGAGGTGGAAAAGCCAAGTTCAAGACATTGGTCCACCACAGACCTCCGGCTCCATGTAATATTAAATGGCGAAAGCTCTCCCAGAGATCTACAGCTCAACACTAAGACCCAGCTCCACCCAATGAACAGCAAGCTACAGTGCTGGACACCCTATGCCATACAACTAGCAAGACAGGAATGCAACCCCACCTATTAGCAGAGAGGCTGCCTAAAATCATAATAAGGCCACAGACACTCCAAAACACAACACCGGACATGGTCCTGCCCACCAGAAAGACAATATCCAGCCTCATCCACCAGAACACAGGCACTAGTACCCTCCACCAGGAAGCCTACAAAACCCACTGAAACAACTTTAGCCACTGGGGGCAGACACTAAAAGCAATGGGAACTACAAAACTGCAGCCTGCAAAAAGGAGATCCCAAACACAGTAAGTTAAGCAAGATGAGAAGACAGAAAAACACACAGCAGATGAAGGAGCAAGGTAAAAACCCACCAGACCAAACAAATGAAGAGGAAATAGGCAGTCTACCTGAAAAGAATTCAGAGTAATGATAGTAAAGATGATCCAAAATCTTGGAAATACAATGTAAAAAATAAAAGAAACATTTAATAAGGGCCAAGAAGAACTAAAGAGCAAATAAACAATGATGAACAACACAATAAATGAAATTAAAAATTCTCTAGAAGGAATCAATAGCAGAATAACTGAGGCAGAAAAACGGATAAGTTACCTGGAGGAAAAAATAGTGGAAATAACTGCCACAGAGCAGAAAAAAGAATGAAAAGAATTGAGGACAGTCTCAGAGACCTCTGGGACAACATTAAATGCACCAACATTCGAATTATAGGGGTCTCAGAAGAAGAAGAGGAAAAGAAAGGGACTGAAAAAAATATTTGAAGAGAATATAGTTGAAAACTTCCCTAATATGGGAAAGGAAATAGTTAATCAAGTCCAGGAAGAACAGAGAGTCCCATACAGGAAAAATCCAAGGAGGAACATGCCAAGACACATATTAATCAAACTATCAAAAATTAAGTACAAAGAAAGCATATTAAAAGCAGCAAGGGGCTTCCCTAGTGGCGCAGTGGTTGAGAGTCCACCTGCCGATGCAGGGGACACGGGTTTGTGTCCCGGTCCGGAAGATCCCACATGCCGCGGAGTGGCTAGGCCCGTGAGCCATGGCTGCTGAGCCTGCGTGTCTGGAGCCTGTGCTCCGCAACAGGAGAGATCACAACAGTGAGAGGTCCACTTACCGCAAAAAAAAAAAAAAGCAGCAAAGGAAAAACAAAAAAATAACATACAAGGGAATCCCCATAAGATTAACAGCTGATCATTCAGCAGAAACTCTGCAAGCCAGAAGGGACTGGCAGGACATATTTAAAGTGTTGAAAGGGAAAAACCTACCACCAACATTACTCTACCCAGCAAGGATCTCATTCAGATTTGACAGAGAAATTAAAACCTTCACAGACAGGCAAAAGCTAAGAGAATTCAGCACCACCACACCATCTTTACAACAGATGCTAAAGGAAGTTCTCTAGGCATGAAACACAAGAGAAGGAAAAGACCTATAAAAACAAATGCAAACAATTAAGAAAATGGTAATAGGAACATAAATATCGATAACTACCTTAAATGTAAATGGATTAAATGCTCCAACCAAAAGACACAGACTGGCTGAATGTATACAAAAACAAGACCTGTATATATGCTGTCTACAAGAGACCCACTTCAGACCTAGGGACACATACAGACTGAAAGTGAGGGGTTGGAAAAAGATATTCCATGCAAACGGAAATCAAAAGAAAGCTGGAGTAGCAATTCTCATATCAGACAAAATAGAATATAAAGACTGTTACAAGAGACAAAGAAGGACACTACATAATTATCAAGAGATCAATCCAAGAAGAAGATATAACAATTATAAATATTTACGCACCCAACACAGGAGCACCTTAATACATAAGGCAAATGTTAACGGCCATAAAAGGGGAAAACAACAGTAACACAATCATGGTAGGGGACTTTAACACCCCACTTTCACTAATGGACAGATCATCCAAAATGAAAATAAATAAGGAAACACAAGCTTTAAATGATACATTAAACAAGATGGACTTAATTGATATTTATAGGACATTCCATCCAAAAACAACAGAATACACTTTCTTCTCAAGTGCTCATGAACATTCTCCTGGATAGATCATATCTTGGGTCACAAGTCAAGCCTTGGTAAATTTAAGAAAATTGAAATCGTATTAAGTGTCTTTTCCAACCACAATGCTGTGAGACTAGATATCAATTATAGGAAAAAATCTGTAAAAAATACAAACACACTGAGGCTAAACAATACACTACTTAATAACCAAGAGATCACTGAAGAAATCAAAGAGGAAATCAAAAAGTACCTAGAGACAAATGACAATTAAGTCACGATGACCCAAAACCTAGGGGATGTAGCAAAAGCAGTTCTAAGAGGGAAGTTTATGGCAATACAATGCTACCTTAAGAAACAAGAAACAACTCAAATAAACAAACTAACCTTACACCTAAAGCAATTAGAGGAAGAAGAATAAAAAAAACCCAAAGTTAGCAGAAGGAAATAAATGATAAAGATCAGATCAGAAATAAATGAAAAAGAAATGAAGGAAACAATAGCAAAGATTAATAAAATTAAAAGCTGGTTCTTTGAGAAGATAAACAAAATTGATAAACCATTAGCCACACTCATCAAGAAAAAAA